AGAGAATGTGCCCATGATGCTGGGTATCATGACCACAAGTCAGAGTGTCACACTAGCCGAGTGCTGAGAACCTGTCCTTCATTCCCAACTGAAGCCTTCTCCAGCCAGCTGTGTCTTTAGTTATCTGTTTTCAAACTTTCAGCTAAGGTCATTTAGGTCACTCTATTTCAGTTTCCTTTCCCTCCCCCATCCCCAGGACTGAACCCAGGAAGTTCTATCACTGAACTACATAATCAGTTCACCCCCTTCCCCATTTTTTTTTTTTTTTTTTGAGAGGGGGCCTTATTAAGTTGCCAAGGCTGCCTTTGAACTTATACTCCTCCCGCCTCAGCTCCTGAGTTGCTAGGATTTATAGGTATGTGTTGCCACCATGCCTGGCCAGTTTTCTTTTTGTTAAAGCAAAAAAAAAAAAAAAAACAGAAAAAGTAAAATGTTTATACTGTATTTAGTTATTTATTATGTTTATACATCTTTAATATTTGTGTTAAACATATAATAATTCATGAGTATATATTCTTTATAATTCACAATTTTTCTCTTCCATCTCCATTTCCCCTACCTTTTTACATGAACCATGTAAAGATGTAATTAGTCAATTTTATGAGATCATATTTTTGGCAATTTTTAATGTGTTTGGAGATTTGCATATTAAAACCTTAATTAGACCCTCTTACCTCATTCTGTTTAATACTGCACAGTATTTCACGGTATGAATATACCATAATTAATTTCTGTCCTGTTGCTGATCAGTAACATCATGTCACAGACTTTCAGGTGAAAATTCTAGTAGTGACTTTATTAACTGATTTTCACCTTCACCTCTTTCATCCTCATACTTATTTACTCTCTACATCATTTAATTTTCTAAATTATGCACTTTCCTAGAATCTAATAGCCTAGTCTTTAACTGTAACTCTTAAAGGAATTATGCCTCTTTTTATAAACCAATACTGAAGTAATTCTTTTTTAATATTCTTTACACTTCTAAGACTTTTATTCTCAGGGGAAAAGTTACAATATTTTAAGCACACAAACAGAATATAACCTGGTTTAAAGGAACCAGAGAAGATACTGTTCTCCATTTCATCAGTCTGAGGCCAGGAAATCTAAATATTAAAAAAGGCCATATGTATGATCCTATTTCAGGAAAAGTGTATGGGGGCCCTTATTGTTCCCACTTGCCTACTTTACTGCCATAAACTGCCACATTGGGTGTACTTTTAAATCAAGGCTTATCTTCCAAATACTTGTTAATGTATACATTGGAGGTCCACTACCATGTGTGTTTTAATGGTTACAGAAGATTTTTTAAAAGCTTTAAAATAGAGCGGGCACAATGAAGGTGATCCCCTGCAAATCCTAAAAGATGTCAGAAGTGAAGTGTGGAGATTTTCCTGGGACTTCTCTGTTTTATATGGTTAGAAATCACCTGCTCCATTGACCACTCACCCGCAGCATCTGAAATGTATGTGCTCACTTTAGACTTGGGGGTCTTTAATATCTTAATGTCAGTGGTGACACAGTGTGAGGTGTGGCCAGGCTGCTTTCATTATCCAAACTGGTAGCCCTTCCTAGTGCATTGCTATTATCGTTTCTAGGAGCAATATAGCTATTTCTGTCTTAACTCCTCACAAATATATGCACCCATATCCACAACACACACACAGCCAAGAAGTGCACAATACTGCCAGTCCACCCAAAGGATGCTTCACTTCCCCAGTGGTTCCAGACTGGTCCTGAGCAAGTTTCACATTCTCAGGATTCACAGCTTATTACATGCAGAGTTAGGAATTCTGTCCTGATTGAAAGATGCAATTTCACGCAGTCTCCTTAAACTGCTTGCACTATAAGGATTCCAGAGTCATTTTGAAAGAAGCATAATGACATTTTGGTGCCTTAAAGAAAAAAATACTTGCTTAAGCTGATGATATGCTGCCCAGCAATTTAAACAGATTATCAAAACTTTCTCAGATGCAGCAGAAAGTATGAATTCTGGGAATACACTCTCTTGCATAAGCCAAATAATGGAGTGGGAAAGATATTTGCTTTATGTGGAAAACTCTTTCCTATCAATTATTGCATAGATGAAAACTCACCTAGAATATTCTCCTGAGCAAACTCTGATTCCTTCCTGTTTTTCTATACTAAACTTTTTGTACGGTTTTTTGGTAATTTTAAAAATTGGCATAATACACGTAATGGGATTCATTGTAATATATTCATGCATGCATAGCACATAATTTGGTCTAACTCTTCTATTTTCCTTCACTAAGATCTCTCCAGTGTTTAGGGTTGCAGAGGAAAAGGAGATACTATAGGAAACAAAAAGCAAACTTTCAGTTCCATTTTTTATCTGGGTTAAACTACATTTTTTCCTAGTTGACAATTAATTTTATCTTTCTATCTTGAAGTTCAGAGTTTGATCTGTAAAATGAGAAGACATCATTGATCCAATCATGTCTTTTGCCTTTCTAGAAAATTTAGTTTGAAATTAGCCATGATCTCAGCCAAAGGTATTTGATAAAGGAGGCAGAAATATAACAGTTAAGGGACAATAGAATGTGTGCTGCATGTATCAGAAATATGAAGAGAATACTATATGAAGTAGTAAACACAAAAACCAAAATCAATCCCCCCATCACCTGAGGTTTGGGAATTTTTCCCTTTATTTTGTTAAAAAGTAACAACTTCAGCTATGTAAACCTTAGGAGACTTTAGAGAAGCCAATGATAGCTGTTAATGATGAACTCCTATCCAAGCACACTACTCTGCCTTTCAACCCTGCAACCTTCCACTGATGCTGGTGAGGGTCTCTTTTCCCTAGGATTCTAGCTGTCTGCTAACCCAAACAGTTCCCAGTGGAAAAGACTAGGACTCAGAACAACATTTTTTAAATAAGCCATTTTTTGCTTTCTGATTTCAAGTTTAAGTATCATTCATTATAGCTAAACCTACCAGAATTCTGTATAAAATTTGGCTGTACTTTGGGAGATGGGCTAGAGTCTGGGGAAAGAGTAGAAAAAAGATGGTTACGAGGTGGCTTGAGTAGTGTACGCAAGCTGAAATAAGGGCCTGAACAATCAAACGTGTGGGGCAGGAGAATGAGCCATTTTCAAAATATCAACAATTGGACTTTGACCATTAGATGCAAAGTGTGAAGAAAAGTGAGTAAAAGTTTTAGATGGAAGGACTGGGCAAACTATTTGTCCCTTTCCAGAGTTGGACCTACAGGGGGAGAGGCAGGTTTGGAAATAAACAGAAAGAAAGGTGTCCACTTGTGGATGGATGGATCTTGATGCCTATCAGTGGCAGACAGAAATAGATGTTGATGATACTAATCATTTGGATAATTTAAAAACATTTGAAAGAGAGTTTCAAATGAAGTTCTAGAGTTTTTCAGACATACATAGTTCTTTTTTTTTTTTCTTTTGCCAATCCTCACTGGAGATTTATTGGGAAAAGCTAAAAGGAACCACTCATAAGACATAAATTTTAAAATCAAAGTAAAATTTCCCCCATTAAAGCTTATCATTAGCTTTCAGCTGTGAACTGATAACCAAAAAACAAATTAGTTTTAAGCTTCTTTAAGTGGCCTGTGTATATACATTCATGTATATATTTAATTTGTACCAAAAACTGCTTTACAAATGGTAATTCCTGTGAAGTAGATGATGATGAAGTTCCAGGTAATTCTAGCATGTTTCCTAATGTACTGGTCCTGGAGTCTGATCATCCGAAAGAGCTGTCCTTGTCTGCAGGAGCATCTAAATTCACTGGATTGGAAAAGGAGAACAGACAATTTCTTATAGATAGTTCACAGGTCTGATCCATCCTGGGCCAGCATCAACCGTGCCCCCCGCCCCCTCCCGGGCCAGCTGGGGGGAAGGGGTGACCCTCATTACACTTGGGGCCGTAGTGCAGCGGTAGGGAGAGGGAGGAGCCACTTGCTGCACCCCACTCCCCCCGCATCTCTTCAGAGAAGGCAGCGAGCTGCCATCTGCCCAGGCCTATTCTTCCTCCTCCTATTCCCACACATAGTTCTTATTCACTTTCATGTAAGGCCTTACTTTTTTTGTGACTCATTCCTGCTTCTGTCAGCTGTTGTAAATAATCACAAAATGAGCAATCTCTTCAAGAGTAGAAATTTACCTGCATGTGGTTATTATCAGTTTTCGAAGATGTTTGTTTCTCCTCAATAGAAAAATATGTTTCTGCGAATACCATATATCAATACCTTTATAATATTTTTGTAAAGCTTGGTATTATGGTCACTATAGTTTTCTATCATAAAAAAAATGTTTCTACTACTGAACAGAAAGCCATCAAAGTTGTGAAATAAGCTAGTACTACATGATCTCACTGTAAGGTGGCATCTCAAAAGGTTAATTTCATACAAGTTGAAAATAACATGGTAGTGACTACAGGTGGGGAAGATTAGGAGAGGGTTGAGAAAAGTTTGATCAATGGACACTGTGTTAACAGAGAGGAATAAGAAGTTCCTGTGTCAGCAACTCAGGAGGCCAAGGCAGGAGGATCACAAGTTTGAGGCCAGTCTCGGCAACTTAACAAGACTCTATCTCAAAAAATAAAAGATTTTTAAAAAGGCTAGGGATGTATCTCAGTGGTAGAGCACCCATGGGTTCAATCCCCAGTACCAAAATAAATAAATTCATTAAAAAACAAAATTTCTGGCTTGCTATTATACAGTAGGGTGACTGTGGATAACAGAAGTGTACTTACTATACATTTTGAAAAGCTAGAAGAAACATTTTGAAAGCTTTTACCATAAGGAAATGATAAATGTTGGAGGAGATGGATATATTTAACCTGACTTAGACATATCACAATGTACATATGAATTGAAATATCATATGGTAACCCACTGGCATGTATGATTTTTAATGTTTAAAAATAAAATAAAAATTATCTGAAAGTTTCTCTCAAGGTATTCTGTAGTTATATTTATTCTTATAGTTTTTTTTCATTTATTCTCTTCTCAGAACTCGACAGCCCAGAAGAGTTAGGGAAAAAGCGCATCTGCAGGATCATCACTAAGGATTTTCCCCAGTATTTTGCAGTTGTTTCACGGATTAAGCAGGAAAGCAACCAGATTGGTCCTGAAGGTGGCATTCTGAGTAGCACTACGGTACCCCTTGTCCAAGCATCTTTTCCAGAGGGTGCTTTAACAAAAAGAATTCGTGTGGGCCTCCAGGTACTGTTCACAAAGTACTGTTTCTTTACAAGCACTGTTTTCCCCAGCTCATGTAGAGAACACGTGAGAGTGTTTTGCTCTGAAAATGGTCATCATAACATCCTTAACGATACTGCCAATTAGGCCATTTTGGGAATCATTAACCTATTTCAGATGAAAATCATTAAGTGTAAAGTTAGCTTAGTAACTGGTTAAATAAGGTTATATATTTTTAGAGTTTTTCTGTTCAAAAGTCTCAGTTTCTGATGAAAAATAATTTTTTCTTGGGTCTGAGAATGTGAAATAACATACGAAAACTTGGTTTATAATATGCCACATCATAAAAATCAGTTACAGTGAAACTTGCAAGCTTTAGTTTGGGGTTTAAGTAAATCATAAATGTTGGGTTTCCTCCAACCCAGTTGGAACTTGTTTTGGTTTGGAAAGCTGACTGGAAATCTTGGCAAGAATGATCTTTCTTATATTTTTTCATTTAAGTTAGGTTAGACCTTAACTAGTCCGCTTTTTCCTCATTAAATAAGGAAAATGAACTGAAAAGAACTTAATTTGTGTTGATAAAATAGTAATTAATAGTTTAACTGAAAGTTCATGCTCTTCTTGTGAGACTGACTCTCCTGCCCAAGGAAGTTTGTTGTACTCTTAAGTCCTGGGAATGCCTTTAGTAAATACTTGGAATCCGGGATCACCTTATATTTCAGTCATATGAAGTTTCCTTCACCTGTTTCCTGTATTGAATTATTTTGCCAAATTAGCAAAGAATCCAAAAGAAATGAGGTAGGCTTAGTAGACTAGCATTCAGATCTTTGAAACTTTGAATGCTGTTTTGTTTCTGACCTCTGAAAGCCTTGGTTTTTAAGTGAGTACAAGTTGACTTTGTGAGATTTTTATGGAATGTCCTGCATAGGTTTAAAGTATATGGAGCTAAATATTTGTTGTCCTGGAATTTGAAGTAGACTAACAAGCTTCTCTGCTCTGATTTGAGTCTCTCCTTTTTCTGTAAGCCAGTGCTGTCTGCATTCTACTGAGGAAACAGGCTGGCTGGTTCCTGCCACTGTGTTTGGTTCTTTTGTCATTTCATGCCTTGAAATAGCAAGATAGGATTTAAAAAAAAAAAAAAGATATTGTTTTTGTTGTTGTCAGATTGGTTTTTTCTTTCTCACTTCAAAAGTAACCTTGATGGAAAAAGAAAAAAAAAAAGTGAATTTTCATTTAAGGTCCTTTATGTCTAGGCCCAGCCCGTTCCAGAGGAAATTGTGAAAAAGATCCTTGGAAACAAAGCAACATTTAGCCCAATTGTCACTGTGGAACCAAGAAGAAGGAAATTCCATAAACCAATCACAATGACCATTCCAGTGCCCCCGCCCTCAGGAGAAGGTGTATCTAATGGATACAAGGGGGACACAACACCCAATCTGCGCCTTCTCTGTAGCATTACAGGTTTGGCTTAGTCGCTGCTATACTTCCTATTGATTTGCAATAAGTCTGTACAAAGACATAAAACCTTTGAAATATCCACGCCAGTATTTTTTTTCCCTTGTCTATCACCTCATCTCTGTTATCACTGGAAAAATTTAAGATGCTGGTCTCATGAATCATTTAAAATTTAGGGATATTCTCATCTCTGCTATTAAGTTAACATTAGAAATAGAGCCCTTGCTGGATTACTGAGGTATTCCTGATTCTATTGGAGCATCTAGGTAATTTCTCAGTAACCCAAACAGAGGGAGTAGAACTAGCAACACCCTTTAGGCTACCAGGAAATTGGATAGACTTTTGGGAAATACAGATTCCACGGAGCACTATCAGTAGGGAAGTGTTGAGTACATAATTATTCTCACCTACTCCATTCACCAGTGCTATCCAATAAAATAAATACAAGGCTTAGGAGAACACATTTTGTGATAAGTACCTAGAATCCCAGTCCTCAATTCATCCTTTGATTATCTCAGTCTGATTTTTAACTTCAAGTGCAAGTCTAAGATCATTAACAATATGTTTGGTTTTGGTTTTTGAGGAGTAACTTTAATGACAGATTTTTTCCTTTTACCCTGGAAAAGTAAATGGTTCAGCCGGGTCCAAAATGAGCTGGTTCTTAACTTTCTTGATAGTTCTTAACAGTTTTGTTTTTAAGCATATATTATCTATCTGAAACTACACATCATTACACTTATAAAATACACTATAAATTGTGGATTTCCCAAGTTTAAACCATCCATTGCTATCCAGACAAACACAAAAGTAATTTAAAAAAAAAATTACAATATGGGAGCTGGTCACTGTGGCACATCCCTGGAATCACAGCTACTTGGGAGGAGTCTGAGGTGGGAAGATCACTTGAGCGCAGGAGTTCAAGACCAGCCTGGGCAACATAGAAAGACCCTCATTACAAAATATGTCAACATTTAAGGAGATAATAATGAGCTGGTAAAATGTAAAAGGAGAAGAGAAGGAAAATCTATCTTTAGTACACACCACTGAATTGAAAGTGTCAAAATCATGACAGTTGCTGTAACAGGAAGAACAGGAGGATGATGAGAAGTTTACAAGCTGCATCTCCGATAGTAAAGTCACCATCTCTGCTGCTCTTCTCAGGGGGCACCTCGCCTGCTCAGTGGGAAGACATCACAGGAACCACTCCTTTGACATTTATAAAGGACTGTGTTTCTTTTACAACCAATGTTTCAGCCAGGTATGGAAAGATTCTAATAAGCATTAAAAAAATTGGTTCTATATCCTTTTGGGAAACAAATATGCTGCTTTCAAAACTATGTGCTTTGTTCTGTTTTGTTTTGTTTTAATGGGGGAGAAAATCCTTAATATTTACTTAGCACAGTTATTATGAGTAATAAACAAAGCTTTTGCATTTGAAAAGGACAGTAAAAACCTTTGCTATTTAAATAAACAAGTTGTTAGTAGTTTGGTTTATTTCCTTTATATACCTACTTTGTTTTTATTTATTTTGGTGCTATAGAGCAAACCCAAAGATTTGCACATGCTAAGTATGTGCTCTGCCACTGAATTGAATTCCTAGCACCTGAGTTTTCAAATTGTGTGGGTTTTGCGTTTTTGTTTTTTTTTTTAAGATGTAGCTTTTAAATCACTTCATTTTCATAATTCTGTTTTTGTTTTTCTTAGATTTTGGCTTGCAGACTGCCATCAAGTTTTAGAAACTGTTGGGTTAGCCACACAGTTATACAGAGAATTAATATGTGTTCCATATATGGCCAAGTTTGTTGTTTTTGCCAAAATGAATGATCCTGTAGAATCCTCCCTGCGATGCTTCTGCATGACAGATGACAAAGTGGACAAAACTTTAGAGCAGCAAGAGAATTTTGAGGAAGTTGCAAGAAGCAAAGACATTGAGGTACCTTATTTACAATAAAAATTCATTTAATTACATTTTCCAGATACAGGCTTTTATTTTGAGGTTATAATAGCACTATAAATCTCAAGTACATTCTTTGTATTTTAAAATTTTGCCAAAGATTCACTCTCAAATTATTTTAAGAGTCTATGGGGTTATCAATTAATTAGACTATAGTACTAATGAATCTAAGTTATGGTCTCTATTTTCCTGTGGCTACTTGAATTTTATTTTTTTCATGGTCACTGTCTATACACATTATCATGATTTTCCTTTTTCAAACACATAAGTATTCATGAGTCAAAAAAATTCAAACTAGATCACTTAGTAAGTGACCTAAGGTAATTTTCTCAAATATGTTTAAAATTGCCAGAAGTTAAACACAGAACTGTGTTTTGTACATGTTAATGATAGCAATTGTTGAATTGTAAGCCCACAGAATTATTTTTATGGCAAATAACAACATAGAAGTATTTCCTGATAGAGACAAATGTGACAAACATGTCTTTTGTGTGTATTTGTATGGTGCTGGGGATTAAATTCAGGGCTTCACACAAGGTAGTCAAGTGGTCTACCAATGAGCAACATCCCCAGCCCACATGTAAGACTTTTAATTAATGTTATATGACTTTAAATATCAAAATTTTCCTAACTCAAATTAATGTTTTATATTTATTTTACTTTTTCAAAAGGTTCTGGAAGGAAAACCTATTTATGTTGATTGTTATGGAAATCTGGCTCCACTGACCAAAGGAGGACAGCAACTTGTATTTAACTTTTATGCTTTCAAAGAAAATAGACTGCCATTTTCCATCAAGGTAAATCATCTTTAACAGACTCTTAAAAAAATAAATAAAAAGAAAAGGCAGCCAAGCATGGTGGCACAGGCCTATAACTCAGTGGCTCAGAAGGCTGAGGCAGGAGGATTGCAAGTTCAAAGCCAATCTCAACAATTTAGTGAGGCCCCATCTCAAAATAAAAAGAGCTGGGGATGTCACTCAGTGGTTAAGCACCTTTGGGTTCAACCCCTGAGACCAAAACAAATAAATAAAAGGGAGAAAAAAAAAAGCTTAATAATTTATTTAGTGTGAAATATCCCACCAATGTAAACTCATAAGAACATATCAGATTTTGTTCTATTTTTACCAGAATATACTTTCCAGCCAGTGAAGTTTTATAATTAATAAAAACAATCTACAATAAAATGTAGATGATTTTATTATAGATTTAAAATTTTTAAATGTCTAGCTAAAGTTCAGTGATCAAATAAAGAATGAAATCTAGATTCAGTATTCAAGTTTCGTTTCCATTTCTAAGGAGAAATGGAAGCCCAGAGACATTCTTCAGACAACAAGATAGGACAGTTGTTTTATTACTGTTATTTGCTGTTATTGTTATGTGTTGCAAAAACTAAAGATCTGAAAAAATGTTAGGAAGAAAATTCATGAACTATTAAGATAAGACAAGCAGACAATCCTTAGGCTAGGAACTAGGCCCCTAAGTCATGCCAGGTTCAAATGGGACCAGTCTGGTTGACATGTAATTGTTACCATCTTTTCCCTTTACCTTTCCTGCCTCTAAAAGGGCTTCATGAAACAAACATGTTTCATCTTATATAGACAGGAATCCTCAGAAAAGTCTGTAACTGTCACCTACCAAAATTCTTCTAGATTAGAGACACCAGCCAAGAGCCCTGTGGTCGTCTGTCTTTTCTGAAAGAACCAAAGACAACAAAAGGACTGCCTCAAACAGCTGTTTGCAACTTAAATATTACTCTGCCAGCGCATAAAAAGGTATCTTTTAATACTGGTTCATTTTTACTTTCCCTGGTCTTGAAGAATTGGGCCCTTGGTATGCACTTAAGGAATGCTTTGTAACACAATTAAAGCTCTTGAAACTCAAGTTTTATTAGTCTCCTTGTGTAGATTGAGTCTTGTTACTGTGGTGTCAAATTTTTATAGTGTGTATGATGGAGTCCTCTGTTGATCGCTTCTGCTGGTAGTTCATAGATTTTTTTTTTATGCTTTCAAATACTGTCACACATTAATTTGCCATGGATGTATAGTTCTTGATATTTTTTGTTGGCTTCTTTTGATTTGCTTTGCTTTCTAAACCAGCTTGCATTTTGTGCTCCCTACTCAGTCCTTTTCATATCCTGATATTCTTTTCCCTGCTGTCCATTATAATATTCCTTGTCTCTGCAATGCATCTTGGGACCAAAAGGAGACAGAGTCAGATCAAGATGATGAGGTAATATGAATACTTCTGCTTTTATTCTATCAGAGGTAGAATAGATGTTAAGTATGTATAAAGGAAGTTGCAGAGGGCTGAAGTGTGGGCAATGTATGAATTATTTTTGTATAGGTCTTAAGTGAGGTAAAGAGTGTATTTTTCTTAAAAAGGAGTTCACTCTTCCTCCAGGTATGCAAAGACTATTTCAATATATTCCACAGCATTATAATCCAATTTATGATTATAAAATAAAAACTAAAGCTATTTAAACATTTTAAAATGTGACAGATTGGGACAGATTGCCATGTATAAATTTTTTAAAACTCTCATGTGTATATTTTACCATCTATAGTCCTACTGCACACTATTACAAGTTTTAAATCAAGATCATGATTAATAGATGAAGTTTTACTATACCAAATCAGCTTATGTTTTTTGTAATATGAAATATTTTGTCACTGGTTTTTGGTAGACATTTGCTGTTCTAGCTAAAGAAATTTATTTTGGTCCTTTTCAAAGAGTAGAGTTGTTCAATTAAATTGTAAGAGAAATTTTCATAAGTTACCACCTAATGTTTATATAAATTAAATGATAATTGGATTTTTAAAACCTACACATCAATCATAGAGTCAGCAGCCTCAGGACTCAGTAATATTATTGCTAATAAAAACCATTCACCTGTTTTTAATCTCCTCATCTATACTTTATGCCTATTAACATACAGAAACCACAGTAGTAATTGGAATAATCAACTTTGTGTGCCTTTTTTCCTTGAATGTACTCACATAGTGAGTGTACTTTGTGATGTATGTGCTTTCAATATGAATGAATTGGGGAACACTTACTGCTCAGCCTCTGTAATGCTTGTCTTTTATTTGTAGTTCCCTGTAGTCTGCTGTGTTGGTGCTCTTATATTTGCTAAATCATGGCTACTGGGTTGAGATACTGGGATGGGGTGTTAAAATCCCAGTACGAAATTAACATTGTTCAAGAGGAAAATGCATAAGAAGAAAATTAAGGATAAACATATCAACATGCCATGCTACAAAATGTTTCAAAATTGAGAAAATGTCACAGGGAAGTTGGAAACAGAGTCTCTCTTTTTTCTTTTCTTTTTCAGACGGAGAAAGCAGATCGACGACAGAGTTTTGCATCTTTAGCTTTGCGTAAGCGCTACAGCTACTTGACTGAGCCTGGAATGAGTGAGTTTTCTAACATATTTACTAATCTATGTGAATTTTTATAAGAAGAGACATTTTTTCTATACAAACTAAATTTTGGTGTCATTTGAAAACCAATAACTAAGAAAAATTGCCTGCAGGAAAACCTTATCATGAAATCTAACACTCTGTACATAATTGAAGATACAAGGTACCAACACCCCTAGTTCATAGCTTCAAAAGGTTTTTTTTTTAAACCATTTACTATTTTAAAAATTAGAGACATCTATTTTTTATTTTACTTTGACAACTATTAACTGTGGTAGGAGATTAATAGCATTGTTACTTTATATCTATGATCAAAAGAGAAAATGTTTAATCCTATATTTTGGGGATGACAGAAAGAATGGCAAAGTTACTTTGGTTGTTATCTCATTTTTCTTAATACAGATAGATTGTTGTATATTTGTCCCAATTCTTTCCTTTCCATTTTGCGAGAATTATATTTTCTTACTTCCTTGAGGTAGGACTTTTTCACTGATTTCTTGTCTCCCTCCCTCTGTCCTGTATTAAATATCAGTTCTAAGGCTGGTCTTCAGACCAACCGGTTAAACCCTCTTGTCTCAGTGATGGTTCCAGTTCCTTGTTAAATGGCTTGCAAGCAAGGTATAGATGCCATCATATTCATTCTCTCTGCCTCTTCTTCCTTCTTCCTTGTAATTATTATATATGGTAGTCACCATAGCCTTCTAGATAACCCCTTCTTCCCAGGGAACTGAGAGCACAGGGAGTAAGTATGTATTTGATTAATGGTAGAGTGTTGCCACTTTAACCTCAGAGAGCTTTATTTTGAAGAGAATTTATACAAAAACATTTTCTCATTGGTCAACCATCCCTAGCTTTCCCCGCATTGATTCACAGTTAACTTGAGTTCATGGAGGTTTAGAAATTTGCCAGTAAGAGCCACAATTTTGTTTTTTGCCCACCTTTCCTGAATTCATGTTGCTGTGGACCAACATAACATAGGCAGCAGGAAACTACTCCTCTATTCAGTTTAGATGGTTGAGGTCCAGACTACTAGGAAAGCTAATATTCAGATACAAAATGGGTATAGTTTGAAAGAAATGAAACCCTCCCATGATCAGGAACATTCCCTCAGTTCTGAGTTTTTTCCTCTAGCAGAAAGATCCAAATGCTTCCAAAAGTATCAGGGCTGAAATTAACTTCTGTTGTGTTAGAGAGCAGGGAAAGGGTGTAGATGTAGCTAGCTGGTTTTTCAATATGGTGAAAATATACTGGATATGAGTTTTCTTTGGAATAGCATTTTGCCCTGGAGACCCTCATTGGGTGGTGGTTTTGGATACCACCACCCCTTTCCCCCACCCAGGCAGTATTCTTAAGCTTTGGACAGGTTTGATGGACCAGCTGCTTAAGGTCCATGGCACCTTAAGTGAGTTTCCATTTTATTCTGGTCCTTAAGGTATTTAGGGTTTTTTGAGGTATATTTGAATTTTAAGATCATGAATATGCTCAATTTTAAATTTTTCTCACTTATGAAAGTGTTGCTACTTTTTTTGTTAAAATTTCATTTAGATATGTGCAGTCTGCTATCCTTGACTTCTGATAAAAGGAAATAGTTTTCTCTTATGATCAGACACACAAAGGTGGTGAAATGGAAAAGAATAAGAAGGGACCTAAAGGAAACTAAGGAAATACCAAGCCCCCTGAGTTGGTGTTAGAACTCCAAGCGAAGGCCACTTTTCCCTCATTTACCCTGGCCCTTCCAAGCCCATTCTCTGTGTCCCAAGAAGATTCTAGTGTAGTTCACTGCCTAACATCCAGAATTTTCCTTGGTCATAAAGGGTATCAGAAGTGTATGTCATTAAAACATATAAAATGTGTAACTGACTGACTGGCAAGCTGGTTGTTCTTGGCAAAGTATATAAAACCACAGACATGATTCAAAATACTAGTCTGATGGAGCCAGCATTCAGCAGTAAGCAAGGCACTTCACCAGTTTCTTGTAGTTACAAAAGTAAATTCTTAAGACATAGACATGAGCCCAAATCTCTCAATTGAAGAGAACCTTCAAATCATCATTCATTTGCAATGTGACATTTCCCAAAAGAGTTACGCAATATAATTTGGGAATTATGGCTAGGAAGGATAATAAATAGGTGAGTTTTCCATAGTTCCACTTTCTTTGGAATAATATGTCAGCCTAGAAGAGAACATTTTCTGAATATTTGACTTTAAATGTACACTAGGAATGAAAATCTTCACCCTTGTGGGAGTAGCTGCTAATCCAAGGACTGGATTGTAGCAGTGGCACGGGCACAGCACGAAGAGGAGCATAAAAGATGAAGCAGATTCTCATTTACTCTTCAAGTTCACTGTTGTTCTGAACCATTGCTTTCTTGGAGCAAGATTGTATACAACTTTGACGTTGAACAGTAGCCCTTGGCAGGCATTCCAAATCTCTGTGATCAGATCGGTTTGTTTGTTAGAACTGTAGAAGTAGAGAGGACTGAGATTGTGCTTGCTGTCCCTAGTGAGTGTGCTTACCTCATCTGTGTGCTTCTTGCCCCACTGAGATAAGAACGCTAGTATTGCCTCCATCTTTCCTAGTGGTAGGTCTGATTCCTGGCTGCTCCCATGTTTGGGGCTACCCATGAATATTCTGGAAAGGTACCAGAATCCATACCTTTGTAATTGATAAGCATATATGTATATACCTATGTACCATATTTCACTGCAGGTACTTAAATGTGGGGTATTAAAAATATGACTGCTTTAGATTTTCCCATGATACCTTTTGAGAATTAAAAGTAGAATAGATTGTGAAAAAACTGAGATAATGTATGTGCTTTTATTCATAATTTAGACTGCTACAGACATGGATATATTTAGTTACCGATGTATTTTATAATGTGAGGATTTTATTTTCCTAAAATCTCAAAAGGTACCAAGGCTTCACATCTCATGGAAAAAGTGTACTCTTCTTTCTTAATACTCTCATGAAAGTATTTTTAAAGGTTATATTTTGTGCATAATATGGCATACAAATTGTATTACTTCATTGGCTTGTTTGCCATGATATATTGCGCATGATAAAATGTTTTCAGTTGCTTTGCTTGCTTATGGTAACCATGAACCATATTTTCTAGTTTTTTTCTCCTTTGTATGTGTATACATGCATTTTTAAATCATTTCATATTACATTTTCTTTTTTCCTCTCATCAAAAGGAATATACTGCATGAAAAGATAAATGCAAACATTCCTTTTCTTTGTTTTTGTTTTTTTGTTTAAAATTCTGACTCAGAAAATTTCTTGCTCTTATTGGCTTTTTATGGGTGTAAAGCGTAACCGAATTGTGCATGGAAGATACAGATTTAAAATCCAGTGGCTTCACAGTTTGCACATCAGATGCCTGTCTCTTTAATAGTTATTTTGGATTCTGCATGAAATAGGCTTGAGTGGTTTCCTAAAAAAGAGTTTCAGAAATTTAATGCATAGATTGACACATTGAAATGCTTCTAAATAGGTGCAATCTGTAACATGGAAAGGCTCTAGGAGAGGGAATATTAGAAATTATTAAAACAAGAGTCATATGGTTGCACAAAACAAACATACCTATACAGGCAAAACGGAACGGCTACTGCTATTTCAAAACCAGCACATAAGAAAGTCAATAGGAAGTAAGGGAACAGTGTTCCATTGTGGTTATTTTTCTCATCATTAATTCTTTCCTCATGTTTTCTGTTTTTTCATTGTTGGCCTATTTGGTTGCGATGTGCTTTTCCTGTCTTTCATTTCACATTGCTGTTTTTTATTTCTTTAGTTGTTTTTTTTTTTAACTTTGCATTAGTTATGTCTGTAGAAATTTATTTTTCCTCTTTTAGTTAATTGTTCCTTTTGCCTCATCCCTTCTAAATCATGCAAACAATTGTACTTGCTTTTGTAATATTTCAAAGTTTACTGACCAATTTTTTTCTCTGGTCTCTCTGTTTCTCAACCATTTTTGTTGATTTTTGTGTTTGATTTCATTTTAAAATTTAAGAAACAGTTGAACGGAGTGCAGGAGCAACAAGATCCCTCCCCACCACTTACTCATACAAGCCATTCTTTTCTACAAGACCTTACCAGTCCTGGACAACAACTCCGAATACAGTGCCCGGGCCAACCAAGTCAGGCTTCACTTCCTTATCAAGTTCTTCCTCTAATACGCCATCCGCTTCTCCATTAAAATCAATATGGTCCGTTTCAACTCCTTCTCCAATCAAATCCACGTTAGGCGCATCAACGACATCTTCAGTTAAATCTATTAGTGACGTGGCATCTCCAATTAGATCATTTCGGACAATGTCTTCGCCAATAAAAACGGTGGTGTCACAGTCTCCATATAATATGCAAGTTGCCTCTGGTACCCTGGTTAGAGCTCCCGCAGTCACGGAGGCTATGCCCTTAAAGGGGTTGGCATCCAGTTCTACGTTTTCCTCTCGAAGCTCTCCCGTGACTACAGCAGGGTCTCTTTTGGAGAGGTCATCAATTACTATGACACCCCCTGCCTCCCCCAAATCAAACATTAATATGTATTCCTCAAGTTTACCATTTAAGTCAATTATTACATCAGCGGCACCACTAATATCTTCACCTTTAAAGTCAGTGGTGTCTCCAGCTAAATCAGCAGTTGATGTCATTTCGTCAGCTAAAGTTACGATGGCATCATCTCTCTCATCACCCCTGAAGCAGATGTCTGGACATGCAGAGGTAGCGTTAGTCAATGGATCTATTTCTCCTTTGAAATATCCATCATCTTCAACTTTAATTAATGGATGCAAAGCCACTGCCACGTTACAGGACAAAATTTCTACAGCTACAAACTCTGTAAGCTCTGTGGTGAATGCAGCCACTGACACAGTTGAGAAAGTGTTTTCTACCACAGCAGCAATGCCCTTTTCCCCACTCAGGTCATATGTTTCTGCAGCACCATCAGCTTTTCAGTCTCTAAGAACTCCTTCCGCAAGTGCACTCTACACATCTCTTGGGTCATCAATATCTGCAACTACCTCATCTGTAACTTCATCAATTATAACAGTGCCAGTATACTCTGTAGTCAATGTTTTGCCTGAACCAGCATTAAAGAAACTTCCAGACTCTAATTCACTTACAAAATCAGCAGCAGCCTTGCTGTCACCCATTAAAACATTGACTACGGAGACACGCCCCCAGCCCCATTTCAATCGGACTGCATCTCCAGTTAAGACATCTTTGTTCCTTGCACCTTCTGCCCTTAAGCTGTCTACACCATCTTCTTTATCTTCCAGTCAGGAGATACTAAAAGACGTGGCTGAAATGAAGGAGGACCTAATGCGGATGACCGCAATACTACAGACAGATGTGCCTGAGGAGAAGCCATTCCAACCTGAACTTCCCAAGGAAGGGAGAATTGATGATGAAGAACCCTTCAAAATTGTTGAAAAAGTCAAAGAAGACTTAGTGAAAGTTAGTGAAATCCTTAAAAAAGATGTATGTGTAGAAAACAAAGGATCACCCAAATCACCAAAGAGTGACAAGGGACACTCTCCCGAAGATGACTGGATAGAATTTAGTTCTGAAGAAATAAGAGAAGCAAGACAACAGGCTGCTGCGAGCCATTCTCCATCTCTGCCAGAGAGAGTGCAAGTGAAAGCAAAGGCTGCCTCTGAGAAGGATTATAACTTGACCAAAGTTATTGATTACCTAACAAATGATATTGGGAGTAGTTCACTGACAAATTTAAAGTACAAGTTTGAGGATGCAAAGAAGGATGGTGAGGAGAGACAGAAAAGAATTTTAAAACCAGGAATTGCTTTGCAGGAACACAAACTCAAAATGCCGCCAGCCTCCATGAGGCCTTCCACCTCTGAGAAGGAATTATGTAAAATGGCAGACTCCTTTTTTGGAACAGATACTATTTTAGAGTCTCCAGATGACTTTTCTCAACATGACCAAGATAAAAGTCCCTTGTCGGACAGTGGCTTTGAAACAAGAAGTGAAAAAACACCTTCAGCCCCACAAAGCGCCGAAAGCACTGGTCCCAAGCCACTTTTTCATGAAGTCCCCATCCCTCCTGTCATTACAGAAACAAGAACTGAAGTTGTTCATGTCATCAGGAGCTACGAGCCCTCCTCTGGGGATGTTCCCCAGTCCCAACCAGAGGAACCAGTGTCACCTAAACCTTCTCCTACATTTATGGAATTAGAACCAAAGCCTACCACCTCTAGTATTAAAGAAAAAGTGAAGGCATTTCAAATGAAAGCCAGCAGTGAAGAAGATGACCACAGTCGGGTTTTGAGCAAAGGCATGCGTGTGAAAGAGGAGACTCACATAACCACAACCACCAGAATGGTTTATCATTCCCCACCAGGCAGTGAAGGTGCCTCTGAAAGAATTGAAGAAACCATGTCGGTCCACGACATCATGAAGGCCTTTCAGTCCGGGCGGGATCCTTCCAAAGAACTGGCAGGGCTGTTTGAACATAAGTCGTCAGTGTCTCCAGATGTTCACAAGTCTGCTGCTGAAACGTCAGCCCAGCATGCAGAGAAGGACAACCAAATGAAACCCAAACTGGAGCGTATAATAGAAGTCCACATCGAAAAAGGTAACCAAGCTGAGCCCACTGAAGTCATTATTAGAGAAACCAAAAAGCATCCAGAAAAGGAAATGTATGTGTATCAGAAAGACTTATCCCGGGGAGATATTAACCTAAAAGATTTTCTACCAGAAAAACACGATGCTTTTCCTTGTCCAGAGGAACAGGGTCAGCAAGAAGAAGAAGAACTTACTGCGGAAGAGTCATTGCCTTCTTATCTGGAGTCTTCCAGAGTAAACACTCCTGTGTCCCAAGAAGAAGATAGCCGCCCTAGTTCTGCTCAACTCGTATCCGATGACTCTTATAAAACATTGAAGCTTTTGAGTCAACACTCCATAGAATACCATGACGATGAGTTGTCAGAGCTAAGAGGGGAGTCTTACAGGTTTGCTGAGAAAATGCTTCTGTCAGAAAAGCTAGATGTGTCTCATTCTGATACTGAGGAATCGGTTACAGACCATGCAGGAACCCCTAGCTCAGAGTTACAGGGGTCTGATAAGCGGTCCAGAGAAAAAGTAGCCACTGCCCCCAAAAAAGAAATTCTCTCCAAAATCTATAAAGATGTGTCTGAAAATGGTGTAGGTAAAGTGTCTAAAGATGAGCATTTTGATAAAGTGACAGTATTGCACTATTCTGGCGATGTTAGTAGTCCAAAACATGCCATGTGGATGCGCTTTACTGAGAACAGATTAGACAGAGGTAGAGAAAAGTTGATATATGAAGATAGGGTGGACAGGACTGTAAAGGAGGCTGAAGAAAAGCTGACAGAAGTATCACAGTTTTTTCGTGACAAAACTGAGAAACTAAATGATGAACTGCAGTCCCCAGAGAAAAAGCCACGCCCCAAAAATGGCAAAGAATGCTCTTCTCAAAGCTCTACCAGTAGCAGCCCTGAGAAAGCACTAACAGAACTGTTAGCATCCAATGATGAGTGGGTTAAGGCAAGGCAGCATGGCCCTGACGGACAAGGCTCCCCCAAGGCCGATGAGAGGACAGCATCCAGTTTGCCCAGCAGCCCGGAGAAGAGAGTTGTGTCTGAACAGAGTGAGGATGGCAAGTCCACCGTGGAGGCCAAAGGAAGTGTCCCACAGAGCAAAGCACCAGAAGGGCCCCAGTCTGGATTTCAACTCAAACAATCTAAACTCAGTTCCATTAGATTAAAATTTGAACAAGGTACACATGCAAAAAGTAAGGACATATCTCAAGAAGACAAAAAGCCAGATGGCCAATCCAGAATCCCAGTTAAAAAAGTACAGGAGAGCAAGCTACCTGTCTACCAAGTGTTTGCTAGAGAAAAACAGCAGAAGGCCGTAGACCTCTCAGAGGAAAGCGTGTCTGTCCAAAAAGATTTGATGGTCCTAAAAGCTAAAGATGAGCATGTCCAAAGCAACGAGATTATTGTAAATGATTCTGGCTCTGATGACGTGAAAAAACAGAGAACTGAAATGTCAAGTAAAGCAATGCCTGACTATTTTTCTGAGGAACAGGCTAAAGACTTGGCATGTCATGTAACCTCAGATTTAGCAACTAAGGGACCATGGGACAAAAAGGTCTTTAGAACATGGGAAAGTTCTGGAGCCACTAACAATAAGTCACAGAAAGAAAAACTTTCACATGTACTTGTTCATGATGTAAGAGAGAATCACATTGGTCACCCCGAGAGTAAAAGTGTTGATCAAAAGAATGAATGTCTGTCTGTGACTGAGAGAGAACACAAATTGTTAACAAATGGCTCTCTCTCAGAAATTAAAGAAATGACTGTAAAATCTCCCTCCAAGAAAGTTTTATACAGGGAGTATGTTGTTAAAGAAGGGGAACATCCGGGTGGAGCTTTCGATCAACCTCCCAGGAGAAGCGAGAGCTCATCAATGTCACACATTCCAGTCAGAGTGGCTGATGAGAGGAGAGTGCTGTCTCCTAATATTCCTGATGGGTTTTGTGAGCAGTCGACATTTCCAAAACATGAACTATCACAAAAAGTGTCCCAGTCAACTATGAGTAAAGAGACAGTTGAGACACAGCACTTTAATTCTATAGAAGATGAAAAAGTTACCTATTCAGAAATCAGCAAGGTTTCCAAACATCAGAGTTACGTAGGCTTATGCCCGCCTCTTGATGAAACTGAGACTTCCCCCACCAAATCTCCTGATTCTTTAGAGTTTAGCCCAGGAAAGGAATCTCCATCTAGTGATGTATTTGACCACAGTCCCATTGATGTATTGGAAAAACTTGCACCACTAGCCCAGACAGAGGGAGGGAAAGAGATAAAAACTTTACCTGTCTATGTCAGTTTTGTACAAGTGGGGAAGCAATATGAAAAGGAGATACAACAGGGGGGTGTAAAAAAAATCATAAGTCAGGAATGTAAGACAGTCCAAGAAACCAGAGGGACCTTTTATACAACCAGACAGCAAAAGCAGCCTCCTTCTCCCCAAGGTAGTCCAGAAGATGATACTCTAGAGCAAGTGTCCTTTCTAGATAGCTCTGGGAAAAGCCCTTTAACCCCAGAAACACCCAGTTCAGAGGAAGTAAGTTATGAGTTTACGTCTAAGACCCCAGACTCATTAATAGCTTATATACCAGGCAAACCCAGCCCAATTCCGGAGGTTTCTGAGGAATCAGAGGAGGAGGAGCAGGCCAAATCAACCTCCCTGAAGCCCACTACGGTGGAAGAAACAGTGGTCGAGCGTGAAATACCTAAAGGTGTGAGCAGAGACTCTAGCCCAAGACCCAAAAATAACAGAGTTGCCTATATTGAATTCCCCCCTCCTCCACCGCTGGATGCGGACCAGATGGAGTCAGATAAGAAGCATCATTATCTTCCCGAAAGGGAGGGTGACATGATTGAAGTCAATCTGCAAGATGAGCATGACAAATACCAGCTGGCTGAACCAGTCATCAGAGTGCAGCCACCCTCACCGGTTCCTCCCGGGGCAGATGCCACTGACTCGAGCGATGATGAATCTATTTATCAGCCTGTCCCTGTTAAAAAATATACTTTCAAATTAAAGGAGGTAGATGATGAACAAAAGGAAGTGACAAAATCCAAAGCTTCTGCCGAAAAGGCTTCCACCCAGAAAGAACTGGAAAGTAACGGATCTGGAAAAGATAATGAATTTGGCCTTGGCCTTGACTCCCCTCAGAATGAAACTGCCCAGAATGGGAACAATGACCAGTCCATCACTGAGTGCTCTATCGCCACCACGGCAGAGTTTTCTCATGACACAGATGCCACAGAGATTGACTCTCTGGATGGCTATGATCTGCAAGATGAAGATGACGGTCTGACAGAGAGTGATTCGAAACTCCCAAGTCAAACTATGGAGATCAAAAAAGATGTCTGGAATACAGAGGGCATTCTGAAGACAGCAGATCGCTCTTTTAGCCAAAGCAAACTTGAAGTTATTGAGGAGGAGGGAAAGGTGGGACCAGATGAAGATAAGCCATCCTCCAAAAGTTCTTCATCTGAAAGGACTCCTGATAAGACTGATCAGAAGTCGGGGGCCCAGTTTTTCACACTGGAAGGCCGACATCCTGACAGATCAGTGTTTCCTGATACTTATTTCAGTTACAAAGTAGATGAAGAATTTGCCACTCCTTTCAAAACAGTAGCTACCAAAGGTCTAGATTTTGACCCTTGGTCTAATAACCGAGGGGATGATGAAGTTTTTGATGGTAAATCACGGGAAGATGAAACTAAGCCATTTGGTCTGGCGGTGGAAGACCGCTCTCCAGCAACAACCCCTGACACTACGCCAGCCAGAACGCCAACTGATGAAAGTACCCCAACTAGTGAGCCTAACCCTTTCCCATTCCATGAAGGAAAAATGTTTGAGATGACTCGCAGTGGTGCAATTGACATGAGCAAGAGGGATTTTGTTGAAGAGAGGCTCCAATTTTTCCAGATTGGTGAGCATACTTCTGAAGGGAAGTCAGGGGACCAGGGGGAAGGGGATAAAAGTATGGTCACTGACACCCCACAGCCACAGTCAGGGGACACCACTGTAGAAACCAATCTAGAGAGAAATGTAGAGGCACCTCCAGTTGAACCTAACCCCAGCAGCCCGACCAGCGGCGAGTGTGAGGAAGGCACATCCAGTGGTGGATCCCTGGAGAGATCAGCAGCAGACAGTAACACCTCTAAAGTTGACCCCAAGTCACGTACGCCTATAAAAATGGGAATTTCTGCATCTACCATGACCATGAAGAAAGAAGGCTCTGGAGAAGTGACAGATAAGCTAGAAGCTGTGATGACCAGTTTTCAGGGATTAGAAAATGAAATTACAGTGATTTCAAATACAGCCAGTAGCCAGATGGGCATTAGGCCTCAAGAAAAACATGATTTTCAAAAAGATAACTTTAATAACAACAACAATTTGGATTCTTCCACTATGCAGACAGATAACATTACAAGTCATGTAGTTCTGACAGAACATTTTGCACCCACTTGTACCACAGAGAAAGCTAATCCAGTGAAAGGCTCCTCAGGAAAAAAGACAGGGGTACTACAAGGACATTGTGCCAGAGATAAGCAGAAAGTTCTTGGAGAGCAGCAAAAGACAAAAGAATCGATAGGGATTAGGCGAAAATCCAAACTTCCCATAAAGGCCACTTCACCAAAAGATATCTTCCCACCAAACCATATGCCAAACAGTAAAACAAGTAAAATGAAGCAGGTTAGTCCATCCGAGAAAACCAAAACCCTTACTGCTACTTCATGTGTAGATGTGAAATCCAGAATTCCAGTAAAAAACACACACAGGGAAAATCTAGTTTCAGTCAGAAAAGCATGTACCACACAAAAGCAAGGGCAGCCAGAGAAAGGCAAGGCCAAACAGCTTCCATCCAAGTTGCCAGTAAAGGTAAGATCCACCTGTGTCACCACCGCCACCACCACCAACACCACCACCTCCACCACCACCACAGTTAAAGTTAGGAAAAGTCAGCTTCAGGAAGTATGTAAACATTCCATTGAATATTTTAAGGGCATTAGTGGCGAGACCTTAAAGCTTGTGGACCGCCTCTCTGAAGAAGACAAAAAGATGCAGTCGGAGTTGTCCGATGAGGAAGACAGTACCTCAAGAAACACGTCGTTGTCCGAGACTTCCCGGGGTGGCCAGCCTTCAGTTACAACGAAGTCTGCTAGAGATAAGAAAACAGAGGCAGCACCTTTAAAATCAAAGAGTGAAAAGGCCGGCAGTGAGAAAAGGAGCAGTAGGAGGACTGGTGAGAATGAAGGCAGTCAGGTTTTTCGAGCACTCTTTGCTCACAGCCTGGAGAACCAGCATAGTTTGTAAACACTTTCCAACTCGTAGACCCTAGTGCATGAACTGTCGTGATTGCCTGTGGAGTGACTTAACCGTAGTTTCTCATTCTGTCATTGTCATCTGTATGTGCTGTCTTATATACTCTTCTTTCTTCCTTTTAATCAAACTACACTGTAGACAGCTAGGGAAGCATGCTGAAGATACTGGTGTCATTCAAGATGAACAACTTTTTTTTTTTTTTTTTAAATGTGCTAATGGATATGATTCTGTCAAAGTAAAAGCACAGATACTGAAATACCATTGTGTTTTCACCAACACGACAATTCTATAACTGTTGTAAAGTAGCTAGCTTGTCAGCATGTTCGACCCCATTACATTGAGCATCCATGTAGTTTGACATTTGGCCTGATACAGGTGAAAAACAAGTGAGCCATGTAAAAAGAAGTGTTCATGTAGGTGATTAGGACACATCTAAGTGTACAGTGTTAGCGTTAGTCTCTCTGTAAAATCTGACTGCTGCTAAAAGCAATGTTCCAGTATCGTATCTTTCTCGATGATTATTTTAATTAAGAAATTGTAAATCGTAGGTCCACAGAGTCCATGTGAACGGACAGATATCAGGATGGCAATAGTAGCCGATCACCTGGGACTTAGTTGGACTGGTAAGTGTGTATACACCTGAATGAAACAAAGTACAGTTTCTTAATTTCCTTGTTTTATTCACATGCAGTTTATTATGTATTTGTTAAAAAGAAACAAACACCTCAGTAAAAAAAAAATTTATCCATAATTCTGTCTGTCCAGGGATAATTATTGATAGTACTTTGTACACTATTTTTCCAAGGAATAGAAACATAAATCTTATTTTACCTTACATTTAAATGTTTTTCTTCACAGTGCCATTTCTGGTATTTTATCCGATAGCTACTTTCCTTTATGCCTTCTGATAAATTTGTTAATACATATGACTTAAGTAACACAAAATCTTTAACATAGCATTTTGGGAACAGCTTTCTTAGGTTAACAGTTAAATTAACCCATGCCTATATTTCACTAATTTTAGTCATTCGTGAGTCATCTTTACAAAAGGTACTAGGCATTGAACCAAGGGCCTCACATGTACTAGGCGAATGTTCTGCCACTGATCTGTATATCTCCAGCCTGTTTTTAAAGAGATTGAGAAAGGATCTTGCTAAGTTTCCCAGGCTGGCCTCAGACTTGGATTCTCCTAAGCTTGCACCACCACACTCGATAAACTTCACAATTTTTATGATGTATATATAAAATTTACAGGTTTATTTACCTGATGCGTCTAAGTGGATTCACTTTTTTTTTAATTAATATTATGCACAATGATCTCATAGTTATTCTAAGGGGGAAACGTAACTACTAATTTCTAATTATTAGTTGATGCATGCAATAATCCTTAGAGCTAAGTAATATTATTATACACTCTCAATAGATTAAGAAACTGAGTCTTTTTTTTTTTAATATTCTTTAGTTGTCAATGGGCCTTTATTTCACTTATTTATATGTGGTGCTGAGAATCGAACCCAGTGCCTCACCCATGCTAGGCAAGTGCTCTACCACTGAGCCAAACTCAGCCCCTAAGTGGATTCACTTTTATGCTGAAAGATTTATTTAAAATGAAAACTTTATATTACTTCCATAGTAGGGAATGGGATTATTTGCATGTAACATCTGTATAAACAAGGAAACAGGAGTGACAAAGTTTAAATTTAGATTTTTTTTTTTTTTTTTTTTTTTGGCCATGATGGGGATTGAACCTCGGGCCTTGGGCCTGCAAAGCATAAGATCTACCACTGAGATACATCCCTAGACCACTTTAAAATAAAAAAAAAAAAAAAATTAAAAAGATAAAAATTTAAAGGATTTAAGTAAGTAGACTCAGTTCACAAGAGTTGAGTTCTGTAAAACCATTAATAATTAGCATGTCCAAAAGGAATATTTGACTTCATTTTGCTTCAATAAAGACAAGATGAGGTTGTTTGTCAGGTGGGCCATTCTGCTTTGTAGTTTCTATCTTTATAAGGTCCCTAAAATCCTGCCTCACCTGAATCTGAGAAATTTTAAGTTTTATAGGTTATTTTTTTTTAATGCACAGCCAAAAGACGTAATAGTTAAAATGTTATTGACATAAAGTAATCTTGCATATTATCAGTGTCATATGCCCCATACAACTATTTATTAAAAGGGAGAATGTGAAACTAGATAATTTTAACAAGTTTATTTTACACACACACTTTAAAGGCCCCCTATCCCATTTCCCCACTCTCACTCTCCCACAAACTATCTACTCTCCTCTCTTCAGCCACCTCGATCCTATTCTAAGATATGTTGCTGATGACCAGGATCCTAGTAGAGCTCTGAAAAGGGAGGTGGTCTGTGTGATCTTTTTTTATATATTTTATTTATTTTTAGCTGTAGATGGACACAATATCTTTATTTTATTTTTATGTGGTGCTGAGGATAGAACCCGGGGCCTCGCATGTGGTAGGCAAACACTCTACCACTGAGCCACCACCCCAGCCCAGTCTTTGTGATCTTTTACAGATGGTTGAGAATAGTAATCTATTATGTTTAACTATTTGCTAACAAATATTATGAAAATAATATTTGTGTTTTAACATTGAACATTAACCTGAAAAGATATTGGGGCAAATGTTGATTTTATGGTAGCACATGCCCATAACTATTAGATTTCCTTTAAACCAGTGTAGTCCTTAGTTTTTCAAAGTAAGTTTGTGGAGAAGATATGGCAGTATCAGAAAAGATAGATAAAAAGCAATAAAACTAAAATTCTCAGTGTCAAGAATGTCTTTGCTCTTCATAAAGTCTCCAAAAACAGCTACAGTTTGGTACTGAGGGCTTGTTGGGCAGTAGGAGTATTATCACTTAAAAAACTTTAAAAATTATAATTAGCTTCCCTAATTGGAATTACTACAAGCTTAATAAAGTTCAGAAAAATTAAGACTTATTAAGAGAACAAATTTAAATCTGTACTTTGAATCCACCATTAATAATCCACTTTTTTATTTAAAATAGTTAAATTTTATAGTTTTCTACTAAGTAAATATATTCTCTGATCTTGGCTTTAATGTATAACTAGTATATTCAAAAGATACACCTTATGAGTATCTTTTTCTGTTAGTCACAATATACTAATGAATCAGGAATCAATGTATTCTTTTTTGTTTTAAAATGGAATATAAAAAATTATCTGTATATTATATGTATTACAGGTAAAATTTCCTCTATGGAGATTTATACAAACAGGTTTATTTCTAACTGCAGGCTATGGTCACAGCAGTTTGCAAGCCTACCTTACATTAACTTTTGTCCTTTTGTTTTCGTGTGGATTGTTTTCAATTTTTCAAGAGTTCAACTCTGCAAAGAATAGTCAGGTATAAAAGTCATTTTACACAAACCCTAATATATTTTCAGGATAAATTTCTAGAAGTGAATCACTTGATCAAAGGATAAGGGCTCTTTTGAGTTTGTGAATTCATTTTAACAAGTTGCTAGATATATTTCTTATCAAGAATAGAATATTGATCAATCTCTTTCCATGTGAGCATTTTTTTCTATTTCTTTTTAATAATCATTTCAGGTAATGCATACTTGGTAAGTATTTTTTAAGATACACACAAGTATACCATGAAAAGTAAATTTTCTAAGTTCCCATTCTCCAAAGCAGCCACTACTACTCAGAATGTATATGTCTTCTCAAAAGACACACTCTGCATTTCCAGGATTGAGGGTATGAATATATATATGGACAGAAAGCTCTCTCCCTTTTATTTTTCAAACCAGTATCTGCCTGTAAGATAAAATTTTCTGGAGTCATCATTTAACCTCCTTAGCAGAAGCAGAGTTCTTGAAACTTGAGGGCATTATAGAGTGGAATATTATGTGGGTCAAAGGTGCACTTCAAGAAGATTGCTTGAGGCAACCTTACTGCTAGCTCTTGTGCCATATGTATAAACTGTATACACAACCTATCTTGTATGCAATTTGTTCAAATGGCAGATAATTGGCTGAATTAAAAGAATCAAGCAACATCCTCTTTGTAAAAAACAGACTCTTTCTAAAATGATCTCTACAGTGTATTTGAATATAAATAATTACCAAAAGAAAGCTAAGTTACAGCCTGACTATAATCACTAGTTTCCTGTGAAATCAAGTATCTGAAGATTAATGCCCAAGGCTGTATGTGGGCTTTTCTGTGAATTTCCTTTTTCTTGCTAGCAATTGAATATTACTTTGATAAAATGTATATAATAAAAGTAGAATATGCAGTCTTAATAACTCTTTCTTTTTACAGAACTGGCAAGGGAACTGAATTTTTCGGTGGATGAAATCAATCAAATACGTGTGGAAAATCCAAATTCTTTAATTTCTCAAAGCTTCATGTTATTAAAAAAATGGGTCACCAGAGATGGAAAAAATGCAACAAGTACGCTAAAATTATATTATTTTAACTTTCAAAAATGCATATATTCAATATTTTAGATAAGCCTGCTGTTAGTTCATGCAAATGCTCTGTTTTCTGCAATATAGAAAAATGAGTGATTAAAAAAACCTAAGACTTTTGAAGTTATACTTGCTTAATTTAGTGCTGATACCGTAAAGCGCTTTGGAAAGCAAGTGGTGGGAAACTGTTTGCATTTTATCTGTTCTGTCTATGACCATCCAAAAAAAAATTATGGGTTCTATATCATGAGAATATTATCTGAAACACTCTGAAGTTATTGCTGTGGCCAGAGGCAGATGTGCAGGGAAGTGCGGAGAGGAGGATAGAATCTTAGGTGATCAAGTACTTGTATTCTGTGCGGCAACAGAGAATTCCCTAATACTGTTGGATCTCAAGGGGTGCACAGGGTGCCGTAGTTTGGCATGTGCTAACCCACAACAATATAGAATATGTTATTGTGGGTTTCCCTGTGTCGACTTGATTTTCAGAACTCATTAAAATGCTAAGCATTAAACATGAGGGTGACCTATTTTGACATTCTGAAAGGAAAAGGGACTTGTTTGAAGTTAGATCCCTTTATACCTAAGAGAAGTCCAGCTATTTTAAGGCCCATCCATTCTGTTACAGTGGAATGAATGCTGTTGCCTTCACACACAGCTTTACAAAGTGATTCTTAAGATCCTGACTTTCCTGTAGCAGCAAGCCCTCTAAGCCCTCTGGATGATATTGCAGAGCTTGAGTAAGAAGCTGAAATGCCAGGAGGTCTGCGAAAGCCATGCATTTGTATGGATACTGTGCTGACTCAAAGCAAATAATTTCATTGTTGTTTTTTCTTTTCCCCTCCTTTTCAGCTGATGCCTTAACTTCGGTCTTGACAAAAATTAATCGAATAGATATAGTGACTCTACTAGAAGGACCAATATTTGATTATGGAAATATTTCAGGCACCAGAAGTTTTGCAGATGAAAACAATGTTTTCCATGATCCTGTTGATGGTAATTGAATTTAGTGTTCATATTTATTTAATCATTTGATAAAATTGAAAATATAGTCAGACAAGGCATTCACTTAAAACCAATTAAATTGTGATTTGCTTGATTTAATTTCTGATTTTATACCATTTTCTCTGTCAGAGGCTGCAAATAAGCATTATGACAAAAGAGCAAACTAGGTAAATATGTTATATACAGAACAAATAATGAGGTTTGAAAGTATAAGTTAACTGAAAGAGTGTTATTTTAAAAATGTATGTGAAAAACAGAAGAAAGTAATACCTCAAAAATACATTGTTTTTAATTTTAATTTTTATATTAATCTAAAAAACTAGTGATCTTTTATTCATATATAGGTAAAATACATTATGCTCCAACTTTTACCAAAAAAGCAAAGTATTAAGTCTAGTTTAAGCATACAGAACAAACTATTAAGATAAAATGTAAATTACTGTTCTGGGAACAAATATTTAAGCATGTACTGGAAAAGTCTAATGTACCAAAGTGTTATTTACTTAGCATTATTTTAACTTCAATGCTGCCATTAATACTTTCGGGAAAAAACCCTACTTGATATATTGTATAAAAAAGAGGATCATTTCTAATACAATGAGCATAGCTATCACTAATTAATTTTTCACATTAGCTAATGTAATTTGTCATCTTATTATATAAATTAATACTTTTCTGAAAAAGTCTCAAGAAAATCATAATTTACGTGTTTTCCAAGATAGTCACGTGTTACCTTCATGAATGGAAATTTTTTCCTACAGTGAATTTTGAGTAGAAAATGTTGATGGTGTGGAGATAAGAAAAGAATCCAGTAATATTTTTATACTGTTCCAAGTTCTGAAAAATATGGTTATTTTCATTTTTCAAATTGGCAAAGTTAGAATAACAAAGATCATTAACTTCTAATTCTGCATATATTATATGGAAGAAAAAGCTCAAGTTCTTAGAAATTTTTGCTTAGTAAAGTTAAAATCAAGAGAATATTTAAAGCATATCTGTAGTACATGATTTAAACACAGTGAATAATAAAATCAAAAGTGTTGGGGTTTTTTTTTTTTGAGCTTATAAGTTACATAAAATCTTGGGGGCAGGTTCTCTCCAAAGCTTTGTCTTGTATTTGAGACATTATATATTGCTAATCAAACTATTTTTGTGCTGTACAAATATAAATTATTGTTATAGCAAACTGATTTATTGACAAGTTTTAGCTTATAAACCATTCTAATATTCTTTTGGGGGGGAAACTAATAAAAGTTTCTATAATAAAAAGATCACCAAAATACAACGTAAATGTTGTGTTCTTAGCAGCTTCATTTAACTCAATATTTTAATATCAATATTTTAATTTAATATTAAAATATTATTTATTTTAATATTTTAAAATAAACTCACAAGGGCTTTTTGTTATTATGACTTAATATTTTGTATTCCTTATTTTTAAAATTCTTAAGGAAATTCCAAAATGAAATAAATTTCACTTGTGCAAATTATAAACTGTAGCTAATTATAAGACTCTGGTTTATAGGTGACCATAAATGAAAAAGGTCCACTTGTAGCAATTTCAATTTATAATAGCTAAGTCTATACTTAACCTTGGACAAATAGGGAAGCTGCTCATATGTAACACTTTTTTAAATGTGATAGGTAATGAATTACAAAATTTGGTTTCTTGTGGCTTGCTGTATTTTGTCCACCACAATATGGATTTGGGGAAATTTTTGTAGACAAATAATTCAGAAAATTATTCCTGTCTCTCCTCTTAGTGAATTTTTGTGAAACTTCCTTTCCTCACCATGACCAGACCATTGTTGACTTTTCTCTCTGCTAAGGCAGAAAAAGACTTCTGTAGTCCATACAGTAATGTTTAAAATGAGATTAGCTCCTTCCTTCCCTTTTACAAGCAGGTTAATTAATAAACTACACATATCGTAGCATTGTTGTGAATTTTCTGAGTGCTCTTGGCAAATGATTTTCCTTCTGTTTTGTGTCATTTTTTTTCCTTTTAATTCGTGGTTCTAAGTGGACTCCATCACCAACTTCACCAAGACCTTCATATATTCCACAGTCCTTTCATTTCTGTTACATTATGACACTTGAAAACTGTACATGAAGTCTTTTCTACTGTCTTTTTACATCCTTTTCCTAACAACTTTAGGTTTTTACTCAGTGCTACTGCTCCAAAATCTAATAATTATTTCTTTCCAAAGATTAAATTCATTTCTTTCCTATAAATTTCATACAAAACAGTAATTAAGAATTGGGTTGTGTTGCTCATATGTACAATTTTTTAAATAAGTTATAATTTGATTTGATTAAATTTAATTAATTTACTTGGTTTCTTGTGGTTTGCTGTATTCAGTCCACCACATTATGAATTTTGCATGCTAAAACTAGAAAGATAATAAATTTGGCCATGAAATGTGTTTTATATAATGATAACTAACTTCTTACTCAATTAGCCTGGATATTTAAGTTACTGTATTTAAATTACCAAAATTGATAGCATAATTGATAGTATTTTATTTTACTATAGTTTACACTAGTCTTATTTCATTGTATTACACTTAACTGAACTAAACCAATAAATTATCAACATTATTCTGTGATTCATCGTGCATTTTCATACCTGATATAATTTTAATCATTCCATGTGTTTTGTTTGATGTATTTTCTAATTCATTCCAGTCAGTCCAAATGTACTGTCTTCCATAGGTTATCCTTCCCTTCAAGTGGAACTGGAAACCCCCACAGGGTTGCACTACACACCACCCACCCCTTTCCAGCAAGATGATTATTTTAGTGATATCTCTAGCATAGAGTCTCCCTTTAGAACCCCCAGTAGACTGAGTGATGGGCTAGTGCCTTCTCAGGGAAGCGTAGAACATTCAGCAGATGGACCTCCAGTTGTAACTGCAGAAGACACTTCCTTAGAAGACAGCAAAATGGAAGACTCAGTGCCTTTTACAGGAATGCCTGAAGCAGTGGATGTAGATGAGAGCCAGTTGGAGGATGTGTATCTGAGTGAGTATCCTCAATACCTCGGAAATTTGGCTGGGGTCCCAAAAGATGTTAAACCAGCAGAGCCATTGAAACAGACTAGAAAAGTAGGCATACGCTCTGAGCAGCAGGAGAAAGGAAAATCTGGTCCTGATGAGGAGATGACAGAAGAAAAACTCAAATCTCTATTTGAGGACATTCAACTTGAAGAAGGAGTAGAGTCTGAGGAGATGACAGAAGAAAAAGTACAGGCTATTCTTAAACGTGTTCAGCAAGCAGAACTGGAAATGTCTTCAATTACAGGTTGGCAGAATGAGACATCAAGTGGAAACCTAGAGTCCCCTGCTCAAGCTCGAAGAATAACTGGTGGGTTACTAGATCGACTGGATGACAGGTATGGCTCTATTTCAGGAAAAGCAAGCTGAATTGCAGGGACCTCTGAATGCTTTGTTTTAAATAGATGCTTTTTTAGCAATGATTCTAAATTACCAGTCAAGTTCTGGAATATTACTTTAAAAGTTGGTGCATGATTTTAATCTAGATAGGAAAAGTGAGTTTAAATTCAAATGTAATTCTCAGAACAATTGATAGTCTGAAGTAATAAGTAAAAATGTTACATCCCAAAGGTTTATATGTTGTTTTTACTCTAGAAGACTGTACTTTTGGGGCTGGGGATGTAACTCAGTGGTGTACCACATGTCTAGCACATGTGAGGCCCCAGTACCATAAAGAGAGGCAGAGAACTATACATTTCTAGTATTTACTTGTATTATTCTTTTCATATAGCCAGTAATTAATGTTTAAGACACTTTAATAAATGAAAGTCCAAATCTTTTAAGAATATAAATATTTCTTGTTTCTGAGCTACAAATATAATGCTCAAAATACAAAAGATTGAAATACAGCCAGGCACAGTGACATATGCCTGTAGTCCCATCAATGTAGGAGGCTGAGACAGGAGGACTGCAAGTTTGAGGCCATCCTGGGTAACTTAGTGAGAAGGTGTCTCAAAAGGAAAAGGGCTGAGTATGTAATTGAGTAGTACAGTGCCCTGTAGTTTATTCCCCAGTACAAATCATAGTAATAATCAATACGTTCCCATTATCTAGCAATAACATCATTAAAATTTTGGTGAAAATGCTAGAGGCATAGCTAGAAGCATGTAGATCACATGCTTAATATACACAAGGGCCAACACCAATCACCGACACCAAAAAAGAAAAAAAAAATAATGGATTCCCTATCTTCTATGTACATTTTAGAAAGTGCAGAGAAGAAATGGTATCTTTCCTGCCATAGTAATAAAAACTTAACATTTTATGTCCTTCCAGTTTTCTATACATAACTCTCTACTTCAAAAATATTGCCATATCTCTCATTTGTTATTTATAACCAAAATAATTCCCTAAACATGAATCTGGCTTATTTTTATACTTACCCTGATCTAGAATGATAAGAAGTCTAGAGATCCTCAGACATTTGGTCAAATCCCACCACTACTAGGTACACATTTTGTGACTGGATGAATTTCTGATCTCTAACAATATTACTTTGCTCATCTTTAAACTACTACTTCCCTCAAAAAGAAAGCATGTATCATACCTACAACATGACTAGAGCAAATAGTAATCTTTTAGTAATGGTGGCATTATTTTTATTGACCCACATGTCAGACTAAAATATTTTTACTTCAGTGGCAGCTAGTAAAAGCCTTAGGTTGGATTCAAGAAACTGATATTATTTTATAAACATGTGAAATATTTCCATATTGCTGATAAATCTCTTGCTCAGTAAAAATTCCGAAAGAGGGACTTTATAAAATTTGTAAAGAGAAGTTTATGAACTCCTTTTGCAAAATGAAGTCATCAATAAATTCTCTATATAGGCTACCAAAGAATCTACTACAAAGAAGACAAATACTGGTAACTTTGATGTCTGTGTTCAGATGTAGCTATATAATAATTTGTAATTGCATATTAGAAAACGGATTTAGATATAGGAAAATGTGTTCATTATTATTAACTGGCTAACATCCTTTATTTAATATAGGCTCTACCAGTGAATTATATTGAAAAATTACTGAGTCATCTTGCTCCATAAAAGAAAATGATAGTGACTTCTGGTATAATCATATGTAGGGAAATTTAGTTGATAAATATAATTTTCTATTCCCCTATGCACATTGCTTAAGTCATAAAAGTAAATATCCTATACTACTTCAAAGTCTGCTGAGATTGTTGTTACACTAAAATGGGGTGTGCTATTTTAAAGTCCTTTAAAAAAAATGTTCTGCTAACCAGATTTTGATTTAAAGTAGGTGCACACATTTTATACATATTTTACTTATACATAAAATACTGCACTAGTCATTGCCTTCTATAGACATGAAAAACAGTATACAAATTACAAAACAGTGAATATAGTTTATACTAAAGCTAGCATAGAACTAGTGTACATTAATATACTGAAACGAGTAAAAAAACTTGAAGTCTATTTAAAGGGAGGTAAGTCTTGGGGAAAAAAACCCAGTACTCACAGGAAGTAGAAACAAAGGGAGTGCACCAACACTGATCACCAATAAGGTCAAGGGTGGAGAAAGATGAGTTTCAGGGAAAGCTGTTATGATTGAATAAGTGTGATGGCTGGATTCATAACTGAAAACAAAGAACTAAAATTTGGGGTTCTGTGATGCTAGAGTTTCAAGAATCGTTTGTCCTTTGTCAGGAAGTTTTGTGTTTTGGTTTTTGACTGTGATATGATAGGAATTTGAAATAACCTTCCCTTTTAATTACTGGTATTGGAATTCTTAAGTATATCCACAAACAATTTAAGATGTAGAATTTAAGTAGCTCTTGAATTACAATTAAAACCTGGCATGGGCCAGTCATGGTGGCAAATGCCTGTCAACCCAGCAACTCGGGAAGCTGAGGCAGGAGGATTTCAAGTTCAAGCCCAGACTCCACAATTTAATGAGGCCCTAAGCAAATAACAAAACCCTGTCTCAAGACAAAAAATAAAAAGAGTAGAGATGTAGTTAAACGCCCTAGGTTTAATCCCAGGTTTAACAAACAAAAAAACTGGCATGAGTAGTCAGTTGTGATATAGGAAATGCCTAGAACCTATGCATACTTCCTCATACACCCACCTAGGAAAGTCCCTCAGTTTAGATTCAGTCACCAGATTTTTCATGTCTTCAGAAATACTTAAGAATGGCTGTTAAAACTTTGGAGCTTCTAAAGTCGTATGTTGCCATTGTAAATTTGCACGTTTTATCTTTTGCAGCCCTGATCAGTGCAGAGATTCCATTACCTCATATCTCAAAGGAGAACCTGGAAAATTTGAAGCTAATGGAACCCATGCAGAAGTCACATCTGAAGCAAAGACAAAATCTTACTTTCCAGAATCCCAAAATGATTTAGGAAAACAGAGTGCTAAGGAAACTCTGAAACCAAAAGTACACGGATCTGGTCGTGCTGAGGAACCAACATCACCACTAGCAGCATATCAGAAATCTCTGGAAGAAACCAGCAAGCTTGTAATAGAAGAGCCTAAACCCTGTGTGCCTGTCAGTATAAAAAAGATGAGTAGGACTTCTCCTGCTGATGGCAAGCCAAGGCTTAACCTCCATGAAGAAGAGGGATCTAGTGGGTCTGAGCCAAAGGTATGTCCTCTGGTCATCCAGAATGTCATCATAAAAATTAAAAGTATTGATGTTTTGCTTCTTTTGATTACTCCCACAGCACAGGACTTAAGATTCTATTTCTAAATTGTAAAAAGTTGTAGCAAAAATGGTGGAAGTAAAGGAAATGCTGAGTAAAACATGCCATTTGATCAGACCTTCATTCATTGGGTAGGGAAAAAAATAAGCATCTCTAGCCCTTTTCAGGAGACATTAAGTAACTAGCTTGAGGTCCAATACTATATGAGGTTTAGGTTTTCCAACTCCAAACCCAGTGTTCTCTCTTTCAGAAGGATAATTCTGATCTTTTTGATTTTGGGGCATAATTTAAAGAGTATACAGCATCATAACCATCTAAGAGTTCTATAAGTTCTTTTGTCTGAAAGCATTTTGAAAATTGAAGAGATACAATTACCAGGTGGGTTGGCAGCAGTTAGAAATTTATAGTTATCAACTTAAAAATGTTTTAATTACTAGAAAAAAAGAAGAATCATCTTTCTGTGATAGAATTATAAACGTGTTCTTTATATTGATATGTTTTTGTAGTATCACCTAATAGATTTTTAAAAATTCTTTGAGGCCGACCATTTTTTGATATTAAAATATTTAAGCTGAAATTGCGACTCCAAGATGGACACAAGAAGATACAAATGAGATATTTTTCCTACTTTTCATGCTCTCGATTTTTGTGTATTTTGGTCACCTATGCAACAGATACATAAACACTTAGAAAATACTTTTTTTTTGTCAAACAGTGAATTCACGATTTATTTGAGTTTTAGAAAAACTTCAGCATATACTCTCAGTCACTCTCTGTGAATTTATCAACAAATCATATCCTTTTCTTTCTGTAAGCTTATCTTTTGGTTATTTTTCTGCTTGTTATAAGCTTTATGGTTTGAGTGTTTCTCCAGCTTTTTACTTCTTTCTTGATAAGTATAGTTTAGAATCTTGATTTTTCTCTTTGAATTAACTCAGTATATTTAAGCAGAATGAATTTGGATAGACTATTCCCTTTTAAGATGTGCCTACAAAATATAGGGAGAAGCAATAACTGGCTTTTACCTGTAAAGACATATTCTGCAAAAGCCTATTAAAAATCAATAACTGGTTTTTACCTGTAAAGACAATTCTGCAAGTTACTGTATGATATAAATAAGCACTGATACGTGTATACATGTGCACTCCTCTTGGCCATTGGAAAACCATACTAGCGTTAGCATAAAAGGAGGTTGAAAGTGGAAACTCAGCTGGATTCATTAGTAATCGAAACAAATTTTTATTAGAAAATGCTTTCAAGATTGCTTATAAATTAATCTGTATCTTTGATACTGGTTCAGTCTTACTCTAATGATTAAACACTAGATATCATAAATAATCCATAATGAAGTTAAAGCTTTTGGGAGATATGATGAACACCTTTGGATTTCTTGTGAGGTCACTCATATGTCTTTCACAGATCTATCACAGTATGTAGCAACCAACTAGGTTATCTGATATATGATCTCAGAAAACAGTCCCCTTTTTATCCCCTAAAAAATCAGGTCAAAAGTCCGGGTGCTGCTCTTACACGGATGACTGCTTGCTGTTACAAGGTAAAAGTCTACTATTTTCTCCCTCTTTTTATACAGCAACACATTTTCAGGAATACTGAGAAAATTCCATTTGTACTACTAAAATATCCCCCTTTACCAATTCCTAGGGAAATCTCTTAAAGGAATTCTTTAAAATCCTACTACTGTCTTCTATTTACCTTAAGCCTACCAGACTACAGCAAAAAAGTAGAAACTGAAACTTGACCAAATGGCCACTTTGTCTTTAGGTTGTCTTTATGTAAGGGCTTGCTTGGTCTCGGGATTCTTGAAAGGACTATTATCTAACTGACAACTAGGTGTGTTGTTGGTATTTCCAATAATATATGTTCTTCTGCTTTTAATTTACTCAAGTGAAACCTTCTTCCCAAAATAAGATTCTTTTCTGTGAATAATTCAAAATCATTTTTTACTTTTGCCTCATCCAAATTCTAGAACACTGATGAGCAGTTCTCTCCTTTCATGAGTATGAATTCCTCTTAACTTTTTTTTCCTGCCTTTTTAAGCCACTGAAGACCTGCATTCATAATACAGTAGTTAGATCTAAGTCTCCCAAATTTACTGTTCTTGCTGAAATTTTAAAAATATAATAGGGAACTTGGCTTTCCAATTCTTCATTACTTACAAGGATACTAGCTGCTATTTCCTCTGGAAAACATTATTCAATGGAATATTTTGTTCAGGTGAAACGCCCTATAAAATCAATGTTGCTATTAATTTAACATACTTGTCAAGTTTATCTTTGGTGGGAAATAAAGGGGCTTACTTTATTATCTATGCAACTAACATTTCATAAGTTATTTTATCTAACACCTATACTTGCTGTTGCAATTTTGTGTTTTTTTCCCCAGTGTTTTTACACACATTCTCACTTTTCCAATAGATATTAACTCTTATCTCTAGATTTGAGGTAATTACCAGAATTCCACCATTACAATTTAGAAATTCAATAAATACTCTTTACCATGGCCCTTATTCAAAAATCAAAAAATATTTTCCCCTTTGAATTATGAACTATTTGCCACTTTAGTTTTTCCTGATTCCTACCCTTATTGCCTAAAATTTTGTGCAATTACTACATTCTTATCTACCCCATATTCTTTGAGTGTTCTCAGTTCTAATTTCATATCAGATCGTTAAGCTGTCAATCCTTCATTCAATTGCATAAAATTAGTATCAGCTGTATTGATAATATTCTGCTGATACAAATTTGTGTGTCACATTATGCTGATGTAAATTTCAAAATAGTTGTTGATGAAGATGTCAAATTTGACCAAAATTTCATTTGAGTCAGAATGACTTGGTAGACTGAGTGAACTGTGACCCAGAATATAAGGTAATACATTCAAGGCAAAGTGTATATTTAAAACTAGTTGAAAAAGGAATATAAGTTTCTAAAAACTGATAGTTTTTAATTTCAGAAGCCAAAAGGCTCTATAATTATTTTTAATAAATTATAATTTAATTATCTTGCTCTTTACCTATAGTATATGTCCATATATATATACACACACATATACAAACTTGGAATCCTGCTCAAAATTTTTCTTCGTATTCTCACAAACATATATAATAATATTCCTTAGTAGGGGAAGAACAGCAAGTAAATAATTCTTTCTTGATTTCCCTTCTCAGCAGTGTCTTTTATTTTAAATGTGATGGTAAAATTATACTAAAAATGCATTTATCAGGACTTAAGAGACAGTGAGAGTGATTCAAGCTCAGAGGAGGAACGGAGAGTCACTACCCGAGTTATTCGCCGGCGTTTTATTATTAAGGTATCCCGCAGCCAGATCATTATGGGCCACTGCCATATTACTAGAAATCTCTTTCATGTGGTTTTGAAAATTCAGCATGCTTGGTAACTAAATGACTCTGTGTATGTTTCTTTGCATACTTGAAAGTTTACAAAAAATTTAAAAAGGAAATCCATGTTGCATGGAAGTGAATATTTTATATAGACCTGTTTGACATGTGAGAGTTGCAATTTTATCTGAGAATTCTTGGGTTTGTATCCTCCTTTTCTTGGAGAAGTGTTATATGTGTCAACAAAGATTCTATCTTGGTGAGGGTGTAGTTCATATCAAATGAAATGTTCACTGAAGCCTCAGCCAAAGGTGGCAAGATAAAAATTTTCATTATCTTTCTTCTTTAAGTGCAAATCAGTCTTCATTCTGAGAATTTTAGGTTATAGTCTGGCATGAATATATGTGGCACAACACAAGTAAAGCAAAAATTTCTGAAATAGGTTTTTTAAATTTAGTTTAATTATTCATTTTAGATTGAACCCAACTCCTCATGCATGCAAGGCAAGCACACTATCACTGAGCTATACACCCAGTCCTGAATGTATTTTTAACTGTACTATCATGCACCAAAAAGCTGCACTTGTAAGTATAGAAAACAACTTTTTGTTAGAAAAGTATAATTCCACTCTACTACAGCACAATTAAAAACATTATGAATATTTGATGCACCAATCTTACACATGATCAAGTCCATGAGGATGCTCCTTGCAGTGTGTCACTTGTCCATTACTTTGTCTTTAGATAGACCTTTCTTGAGGTTAGAATAATTGAGTGCAGAGGACCAAGAAGTCAGTTTCAAGGCACAGAAGAACACTGAATGTCATCCAGATAACTTGAGGCTTCTTTGTTAGTAGCTCTATAGAGAAAGAGAAATGTCTGTTGCAAAGAGTTTACCAAACTTATTCAAGTCCAAAAGTGTCAGGAAACTCGAGAGTAGAGAAGACAGAGAGTAGACATTTTGCATACCCAAAATGTCTTAATCCTGCTGCTTTTTACTTTGTACTTAGATCAGATGAAAGAAGACAGTATAACTTTTTTAAGACTTTGGAAACAGAAGTTTGAGCTGTCCCCCATATCAACTGTGAGATCAGTAGGGTTCCCTTAATAAACCAACTATGGCTTCTTTGGAAATATTACTTATTGCTGTCTAGCATATTTATAAGGATTCAGCCTGCTTAGTAAAATCCTATTGGCTTCATAGAG